CTGCTGAAGATAACACACAGCACCCACATTTGGGTACAGCTTTAACAGCCCCCCATTTTTCTCTCAGTCACAAAGGTAAAGGAAGAACAGATACTACTCTTCTCTGAAAATGAGGTATTAAAACAATAACTTAATCAGAGCCCATGCACAGCTATGCTAAGCAGCACTGGCTGCCGCACATCATCCTCACAGTGACAGAAACCTGAGCAGAGCATCTGCACACATCCTGGGTACCACACATTCTTTTGTAGGGCTTTGCAATTCACGTTGGCTGGCAAAGCAGCTCTCCAGCTGTGAAAGTCTCAGGGCTCCTGCTGACAAAGCTGCCTCGCCATTATCTCCTCTCAGACTGTCAGACAATTTGTTTTTATTGAATGAGTAATAACCTTGAGCAAAAGAAGGCCTGCCCAGCAAGAAAGAAAGGCTCGTGAATTTGCAGAATGACAAGTTCCTGGCTGAAGCCCTGCATGTACTAATTTACCATATAAAAATAGATGTTCTCCTGGAGAAAGGATGGCCTAACACCGTCCCTACAGTAGCAGTCCTTTAGGATCCCTTCCCTGGCATCCTTACCTCTCAGGGACCATTGATCTGCAGCAGGGAGAAATAGACAGATCAACACCCTTTAGTGGCTTTCCATCACGCTTTTGTTAAAGTTTGTTATTATTAAGTATGTTAACATCATACTCCAAGAAGAAACCCTTACCACCTCAGTTACTATTGTGGAAGACAATCCAAATACACGAAATCAAGTTAAGAGACTGACTTCATACTCCTCTATTTTGTTTGCTTGCTCGATTTGTGCATGTTAAGTTTATTTAATCGAAATAGATCGTTTGCCAAAGATGTCTGCCATGATACCACATTCTCCTTTAGAAGAAACCGGCAGTTAGAGTTTTACTATCTATAGCACCTATAAATGCTTCATAATCTGTGGGTGTGAAGGTAAAGAAATTAAATAGCATGAAAACAGAACTGCTACATCAATATATTTTCTAGGTATAGCTATAAATTATGACAGTCTTGCAATATTCTTCTTGTCCAATGCCCACAGGCAAACAACATATTTAATAGGTGAATAAAATATAATGAATCCCCTTTCTACCATTGTTATCATCCCTGCTTCTGGAGTTATACGTGAGCTGGTAACTGTTAATGACATTTCCACACAATACTGTTTATACCCCTGCAGGTTATTGTGTATGGGCTTATCCTCACGGACTACCGTGAACTGGTAAAGAGGGGCACAGATTAACCCCTACCTAGGCACAGTTAAGGCCATTTTGGCTTAGGCATCATGCATAAACATTGCATCATTATGCAATCCAGTACTAAGAATTTGTGAGTTACACCTCAGCCTTCAGGGCGCACATAGAAGATTTTTACTGTTGTGGAGACAAGCCTTGAAAATCTCAAGCCTCCCCTTCTCTCATAACTATCATGCACATCACTATCATTCCCGCCCTCCATTTATACAGATATTATTATTAATTAAATGGTGTTCAGTTGAGAGTGTAACCTGTGTTTTCCCCCAAGGACAGCTGAGGACCAAGACAAAATGAGCAGACTTCTCAAGTTTTACATAGCGCACAAGACTAGAAGCAGCTTTGTGGAAATAACTGGAAGAGACAAACGTGAAATAAAACTGCAGATCTGAACGCGAGCTGTCATTGGTATAAATACGCTCCTAGCAACAGGAGAGAGAACAATTTTACATACGAGCCAATGCTTAGCTCTGACAGGTTTACCATCTTAACAGACCAGACACCTACACCACAGTAATGTTAGTCTCTGGGGATGGGGCTGGATTCGTGTGCTTGGGGAGGATTGCCACTGCCCTCAGCACCAGATCTGCAACACAGAGGGCTTTAAGCTGCTCCACTTTGAGGGTCACAGCAAAGGGCAATGCCGCAGGCCACGCAGCATCCCTACACCCTCCAGGAGCCTGCCAACAGCCACGAGCAGACTCCTACAGTGCCAGTACACAGATCAAACGCATTTTTGGACATATAAAAGAAGGAAAGGTATTTGTGAAAGAAATGTGCGTCTGCAAGCTGCTACAGAGGAGCTGTGGTGCTTACCAGCCAGCACCTCAAGCTGGGTATCAGGAGGGGCATCAGAATTCAAAGCACATGAGAGCACACTGCAGACCATCATCGTATCTTCATTATTTCAATGCCTTTTCCACCATGATGGATTGGTTTTCTTTGGATGCTCCCTATACATGCAGCAGACACCTAGAGATTTCTGTAAGGTCCTCATGCCACTTGCCACAACCAGATCAAACAAAGAACGTTTTGACAGAATAAACTACATAACCCATATTGCTACTTACAACGTTATTCTTGACCCCAGAATTTTTCCTTAGTTCCTGCTAACTCCTGAGGACACAACCACAACATGGGAGTTCTTGAAGCACCAAATGAATAAGCAAGACCAGCAGAACATCAGGACAGATTTTCTTTACTGAACTAATAAGAAAAAGAAGATAGGCTGCACTAGCGCTCTGGTGAAATTCAGGGGCACCAATTCATATAAGTAGTCTGTTGCATGTAGTTCAGTAAAAATAAAGCATTACAACATATGCTTTCTCATATGGTTCCGGCTCTACTGTAACCACATTTACCTTTTCTCTTTGAATTGCTTTCTTTCTTGAGATTTCAGCTTCTTCAGCTGCCTTTTTTGTTCTTATATGTTCTTCTCTCTTGTACTATACAACATAAACATAAGAAGTTTACAAATATATGTATAGAGAACACATAAGTCACATACCTTGACTCCTGTACTGCACATCTTTCAAGCCTAAAGTGTGTTTGATGAGAGTTACTGGAGATTTTTTTTAAACTGAGACATTTTATTAAATAAAGCAGAGTGTGCAGCAGCTACTCTGATATTGGCTTTAAGAAGACTGAGAAACCTGGGATTGATAAATGTGCATCTATGCAAGGAATCACAAAGCTGATTGAAAACTTACAAGCATTTATACCTTTTATAACAAGAACAACATTTCTACATATAGCACAGGGTGGTTGGTACATTGATCAATTAGTTGAAGCATGGGCAGCACACTGGAAGATACAGTGAAGTGTGTAAGTGACTTTACCACCGCACTGCTTGTCATTTTAGACACGATCTGTGATATGGTTTGCTACATACTTATAGTCAGTTTTCTCATTTTCTTTGGTGCAGAACATTTGTTTTTAGTTTGCTGCTGCTTCCTTCAGGTTTCATGACTTTCTCTTGTCAAGCAGCTGGAAGTTCATTTTACAGCATATGAAGCAATGACACTTACAGAAAAGCCCTTTTTAAGCTAGTTGTTTTAAAATAAACAAATAAATTTATTCTTCCTGACCTTTTGTTGGTATTTAGATTGTATGAGCATCATCTGTTGTTTTTGCCTTGCTTGAGCCTCTGATTCCTTTCCACCTAAACAGATAAAGAGAGTATAAATTTCATTGTGCATAAGCATTTTAAGTTCAAATGTCAGTCACTTGAAACACAGCAATAACAGATCAGATGTATGCATATATGGCAAGTTTTTCATAGTTACAGTAGTTGTCTGACTTTAAAGAAAGCATATAGGAGATCTTTTTGATTATTATATCCATCCTCCAGAAGCAGACTTGCTATTTATAGAGTATCCATTCCATGATCCACTCTGCCAGTAAATATGTCCTATTGTGGATGATCAGTTTACAGAAACTGAAAAACTATTCAGTTTTCAGAAGATCAGTCATGCTTTACAGATAATTCTTCCTTTCCAGGCATAGATTCCTCTCCACCTTTGCTCAGTTTATGCATTCTTCTGTCTGTCACACACACACACTTTGAAAACTTTATTGCCAAAATTTTCTGTTCTATCAATTGTAAGGACCTAGAGCTCCTGCCAGCTCTGATTAGACGTTGCCACTATATTATCTTCCTCCTAGCAATATATTGAGGCTTGAGGAAGAATCCCCTTTCCAAAATGAAAGCAAAGGCTTTCTGAAGAGACCTCGCAGTCATACCCAGGTAGCAAAAGATGCCCTTTCTGGGGGCACAGGTTCTCTGTTGAGAGCATCTAAATCTCTGCCCATATAGGCTCAGCCTTCAGCTAAAAAATAAAAATAAAATAATAATAATAATAAAAAAAACACCACACACACCTCTCACCTGCCCACACACACATACTGGAAACGATAGGTGTTCTTATGGATGGAGGGTATGAATAGGGAAACCAGTAATTTATTCCCTCAGTTTGGAGGACTTGGGAAGCAGAAAATGACTACGGGCCCTATTCTGTAGATAAAGGTGTGCATTTACTTAATGATTTTCTGACAAGTTCCTCACTACAAGACAGTTAACTCTGCAGTGGCAGTTTGATCCTGCACAGAGTAGTCTAGGAACTGACTCAGCTCCGGTAGTTGAGGTCCTTAACACTGGAAACGACTCCATGGTTGTCCATCCTGCTTGCAGCAAAGGGCATGAATCACCCTTTAGTAAAAAACCTCCCTTTACTAATGGAAGGCAACTAATCTTTCAGGTGCCTTTCTGAGGTTCAGTGAATGGGAGATCAATTCCCGAAGTATGGAAACACTGCTTCTCTTCACACAATTAGCTACATAAGAATGAGGCGATACAGGATACAAGTAACAAACCTTCACGAGCAGTAAGCATACAGCTGGTATAGTGTCTCATGAAAATACTACTAAGCACTTTAGAAGTTTGTTCCTACCAGCAACATTTATCACTCTTGTGTTCACTGCAAGTTTCTGCAGGTGCTGCTGGACATCAGCTCTTAAGTCATTACTCACAGCCTTGCAGCCAGGTTTAATTCATTCAAGTAGGCTTGGCTGTAACATATCTAATATTTCATGAAGTCAGACTGGTGTGTTATGACTGACATTCCCTTTATATCATATAATCAAAGAAGCAGCCATTTCATTTTTCAGGCATGATTTGTTCTTTACAATCCTGCTCCATTCATGCTTTGAGAAAAGGATGAAACTTAAATGAATCATCACTCCCATCCTCCATGGTAGCCTTAAAGTTTGCCAGTCACATAAGTGTTCCAGATTTCAACTCCACAGTATTTCCCTAAGCAAATCATGAGTATTTAAAAACTCTAAGAATTCTCTGGTGATTTGGACTAGATGTGCAGTCTCCCCCACCCCCGC